GGAAGTTCAACCGAGGGAGACCGAACTCCAAATTCTGAAGCTGCACAGAGGGAGACCAAACACTGAATTCTGAAGTTGGACGACACATGAAGGATGGGAGAGATTAAGCTCTGGAGTCTGGGTCTTGAACTCGAAAGCATCCACGAGAAGAAGACGAGGAGAGAGCCCAGCAGGAGGTAGACAAGAAAGAGGCGGTGGAGGAAGAAGAGGAAGAAAACGATGATGATGATGATGATGAGGAGGAGGAGGAGGGCATTATATGATCTTGCAGGGACAAATCAACTGCCTCAAGACAGGCTGCTTATTGCCCACAATGACTTGGTACTAGAAAAGTGCAAATGCGTCGACTTAACAAGAGACACGGAAGTGTTTCATAAGAATGGGATGGCACTCGTGCCCCTTTCCAATCAATTGCGCAGTAGAACTCGCTTTCAAAATAAAAGTCTGAAGTGAAGGATCTCTTCTTTACAACAGCAACTGAAAACCCTGGATCGAAAACAACTGTGAAATTAATAAAAAAAATAAAATAAAAAAAAACCGGTTCTAAGAGCAATTCGCCAGGATTACATATGGCACAACACCGGAGGCAGGGGAGTATGTTAGAAATACTCCAGACCTCCCCTCCTCACATGCCACCAGCATAACCAGGAAATGTGAAAGGGAAACCCATGTACGTCAGGGAGACAGAGCGGGCATTTACATTTTTCAGGAGGAGGAAAAAACAAGGAAAAGAAAATTGTGTGCCCCGCCGGTCTACCCCTCACACAAGGTGGGGAGAACCCGGAGAAGTAGAGAACGAAGCAAGCATTCCAAACCGTCCAGGTAGGTTCTTTTGGCTGTCCCCCGGCTCAAGTTGCCTCCACGAGGACCTGTTTGTTCAAACACAGAGGCAGATTTCCCACAGGGAGAGAGTAGAACGAACACACAGGTCGATTAAACACGGATTCTTGCCCTTTGTTGCGTGGCTTCTGTAACTCTCTTTCATTCAGCCAGTCCTATAACAGCTAAGCAGGGTAGGCAGGTATCACTTGGCCATCAAAAGAGATCTTCCAGCAAGGAGGGATGAATCAATGGAGATCAAGCTGATAAGGAGACATGAACCCTACCTTTCAAAAGCCACTGCCATGCACATACATAAGATTGAAAAGAATACACAAACACTGACAAAACTGCAACAATATTCAAACGCATAGCCATGCATGTACATATGAAAAAATCAATAAAATACATCAACAAACTTCTGAGCATGGTAACCCCGGGCCCGGACATTTCCGGACTGTCTTCCGGACCAGTGTCTGGACCGGGCCGGACTGTCCGGTGATCCGGACATCACCGGACCTGGACAGTTCGGACCGGTACCAGGGGTGCACAAATGTCCGGACCAAAAAACAAAAACAAAAAAAACGGGGGGGCCGCAGGGGTGTTGGCAGGCACTTACCTGCTCTGCACTTTGTAGTTCAGGCAGCAGAGCACGTGTCTTGCAGCAAATCAACAAGCACATTTAACCAGCAGACATGCAGAGTTGCAAACAGTGCAAAGCAGGCACAAGACTAAAGAAACACAGAATTTTTATTTTTTTTTAACTATGATTAACTTTGAACTTTAAACTTTGAACTTTGGATTTAGTAGTTTAGGTTCATAACTTCATACACAACTTAAAAGTTCAAACTTTGCAGTTCAATTCAGAACGTCAGAATCTTCAGACTGGCAGCACTGTCAGTGCTCTCTCTCTCTCTCTCTCTCTCTCTCTCTCTCTCTCTCTCTCTCTCTCTCTCTCTCAGCACTCTCTCTCTCTCTCTCTCTCTCTCTCTCTCTCTCTCTCTCTCCAAAGGGCAGCAGCGGCGGGCAGCAGCAGCTGGCGCCTTGAAATTGGTCGGGCCTGTGTGAAACCCACCACCCCAAAAACCTGCAGTGTCTTGTGTCCAGACCTCCAGGCCCTGTCCGGTGGGGTGAAATGACACTGAAAAATCACCCCATTATTTTTCGAGGGGCGGCCAGGACCCGATAAGTCTCCTGGGCCGCCCCCTTTTTTTCTTTTTTTTTTGCCCCAGGGGCCTCCATCCTGACATCAGGACCAGACACCGGACTGTCTGGAACCCGGTCCGGACGTCCGGACGGTTACCATGCTTCTGAGGGAAGCCAGTAGGATCATCATAACGTCGAAACTTCACACACACTGCCTAAGATGAAAAAGACACCTACTAACAAAGAAAGCACCGGCTACTTCGCCGGTAAGCGGCAAAGGGATCTAAGTTCATCTAACAGTCTACATATCCACTCAGCCAAAGCGGTCCCCTACACAGGCGGAAGGAAGGTTTCTTACCCCAGACACCCTGAAGCAACAACTCCCTTGGATGCCGGTGCAATAAATTGCATATTCCTAGCACGGCTGTACCAACAAGTAGGTTAGATTTGCTTTTTTGTTGTCGTCTGGGCCTATCTGGGACTTTATCTAAGTCTGGTCACCTGGAGGGACATCCTGTTAATTTCCGTTGTTTTGAGCCCTGCAGGGCTATCCCTTGGATGTTGTAGCGTTTCTTTGCTTTGAGCTCTACTGGGCTCGATCCCTAGACCTGTCACTTGCTGGGGATCCTCTCTTTTGAGTAGTCCTAGTCCATTAGGCCCTATCCTTTTGTCTTTTCTGCCTGCAGTCCGGCAGGCCCGTAGGCGTTTTCTTTTGGTGTTGTAGGTTAGGTTCCCTCTTAGTCGGTTTCTTGTTTAGATGCAGACAGGCAATAAGATGTAGTAGTTTAGTCCGTTTTGGTCTAGACTCGGACGTAGATAGGGCGGTCCAATAACGAGTTGCTGTTTGGTCCGCCTTAGCGGAGTGGGTAGAAGTCGGGCAGTTCGTAGCAGAAGTAGGTTGGGCCCGGAGGGAATCGGGTTCTTTTTGGTTCTCTTTTCACGAGTCTGTTGTCACATTTTGAACTGTGCTGCGCTATTCCTTCTGCCGCGCAGGGCTTCCTTGCGAAGACACAGTCGCCGGCCATAGCTGGGGCCGAGCAGCTTGATTAGGGGCAGCGTTGCGCATCAGGCCCTGGGCGCTGTGAGGCGCCTCCTCTCCTGTGTGCTATCGGGGCGGGTCAGACGGCAGCGTTGGGCTGGGCCACGTCCGAGCCAGGCTGTACTGCGTGGACCGGATGGTACCAACACGCACACTCCAGCCCAAAAAACAGAACAAAGACATGGCCATGCAAAAAAAAAAAAAAGATTAAAAAAAAATGCCAGCATAAAGACCAATTCGGGCCTTTCCGCAGGCAGGCAGGCAGTGTCCCCTGACCGGTATTATGCGGCCATACTCACACTAGCACTTCCCTTAACGTATCTGACAGTGGTTACAGCCATGCCTGAAAGAATCTGACCACAATCACGTCCAGAACTTAGTAGAAAAAGTCCTAGTGTGAGTATGCCCTTCAATCACTTTTCCGGAAGTTTTTCCCCTTTTGAGGTGAGGTGCACCCAGATTCGAACATGTGCACTCCCCTTCCGGCCTCAGGTGCACTCGGATTCGAGCTCGGGCCCGCACAACTTCTCCCCTTTCAGCTTCGGGTGCACTTCCCATCGGATCTACTATGTATTCATATTCCCATCGGATCTACCATGTATTTATATTCCCATCAGATCTACTATGTATTTATATTCCCATCGGATCTACTATGTACTTATTTTCCCATCGGATCTACTATGTACTTATATTCCCAATTATTTTCGAACATGTGCACCAAACAAAACGGCAAACGGGATGGCCCTGGAAGTATTGTGCGGCCAGCTCATCTCTCGGAAAGTGACGAATGCTACAAAAGGCCAACCTCGCATGCAACATGCCAAAACCGCTCCACGAAACGGACCTCCCCACATCGAGCTCCACACCTCTGCCTACCGACCTCAAAACAAACCTATACGAAAACGCTGAAACGCTTCTGGGACCCGCTGGGCCCGGTCGAGAGCACCCTTCAAAGACCCGCTCCGCCATTTGGCAGCCCTCAGCGAATCACTCCTCCATGAAACGGACATCCCCATTTTGAGCTCTCCTCACCATTGTCTCCAAGCAGAAAAACAGACCTGGATGAAAACGCTTCTGCGAGCCGCTGGCCCACTTGGTAGCGCCTTCACAGACCTGCTCCACCATTTAGGACGGTCTTCAGAGACCCACTCCACCATTTTTTGTACTATAGTAGATAACACAAAGGGAGGGAAGACCAAGCACGCAAAAGAAAGGAAGAAGAAGATATTTTGCATGCAAGCAGTGATGGCTACAATGCTAAAACGAAAAAAAAAAAAAAAGGGAGGAAGACCAATTGCTAAATGCAGCGGAAACTTGCAGCGATGTGAAAAAACACGTGCACAAGGCAGATACGCTATGTGACTGGTTGGACCGCAACTCCGCAGAGCATCGACATGTTCACATATACATGTACCGATGGCCGAATTGACCATGTTGGTATCTGGCTTGCATCTGGTTCGCATATACGTGTACATACACATTGTGAGAATTTCTGACAAACAAGCCCGGGCCTTATTGGTACGTGGCTTGCATCTCGTAACGTCGGACCTTTCAATTGTGTCGCCTACGAGATGGGACATACGACCGGGGCATCAAAGAAGTGGTACCTGGGCCGCGGAACCAGCATCCCTGAAGAGTAGGAGAGTCAATAGTTTAGGGGGTGGATATTAGGAATTCTGGTCTCATGGGACAAGGAGCTGCTCGCACCTTTTTAGTTCTTTAGTGCGCTCTCTGTGAAAGGAGACCCCGATCCTCGCTTGAAGGTATGCATTCTGTGAAAGCAGAAGGAGGCGGCGGAAGGCTGCTGCTTGTAGCCACGGGTTTTATCTTTCAAGGTGTTCTTCAAGGAGTGAGGAGTTCGAACCCTTGTAAACTTGCAACAAGATGGTGGCATGATGAGCATCCATCTTTTTTTTTTTTTTTTTTTTTTTTTCCATCTATCAAAAAGCATGGCAATGAGAAAAGGACATACAGCCAACAGAGGTTCTGAACCAGCTGGACTCGTGTGACAAAATTCTAGGCAGACAATTCCCTTCCTTTAGCACAAGACTCTGTGAGAAAAAGGCATACAGCCAACAGAGGTTCGAACCCTTCTAGGCAGACCTATGCGCTCCGCTTAGAGACTTTACCGACCGGAATTCACAGCAGTAGGGTCAAAAGTTCAAAACCTCTTCATCAGATATATTGTAAACAACAATTTCCTCATCATCATACGCTTTTGCATCATTGCGTCCTGCACATGGTATGCATCCAAACCGCTAAATAACTACCTCTCCGTTCGATGCCCTGTCGATCGCATGTCAAACAGAGACTTCTCCACATGCCCTCGCTTTATCATCATCCTATTCACACCGCTGTAATGGATGCTCATCCCTGCTGAGATGTGAATGCGCAGTTTTCGGGGTCTCGATAAGGTTTAACTTGGCATTACCATACTTCTACATAATGTAAGGCCTCGGGCCACAACTCACCGAATGTGCACAATAAGAATGAATCTTCCGGGGAAAAAAAAAAAGAAAAGAATCTTCCGCTAGAACATGGGAAGATAGACCGCCATGTTTTTTGTCTTTTGCGCATGTGGTGAGTAGTGGAGTAAGGCCCCCTAGTGACACAGAATTTAGAGTTCTGTGACATTCCACTAATGGAAAGTTATGCCGTTTCCACTAATGGAAAGTTATTCCAAATCCCATAATCACCGTGTGCAGATGAAAATCTCAAAAAGAAAAGGAAAGAGAGATGTGAATCTCCCTCCCTTGTACCGGTTATGGTAATTTACTGGTGGCAGTATCTGCTGATTGCAGTGCATGGCTACCGTCTTCAGACTCTCTTCACCCAAATAGAACCCCTGGTCATTACAGCCGTGTTTGGGCCAACGTTCAGACCAGCAACAATCACGACCGGGCGTTCAATTCAAGTGAAGACGGGTAGTGGAACAAAGTGCCTGGGTGAAATTCATCATACCTTGGCTGCACTTTGACGGATCTTCCTTGTTGGTGACCTCATCGTCACAAACTCCTCTGCTGCTGTAGGGTGAATACCTATTGTCGAGTCCAGCTGTGCCTTGCTAATTCCTGCCTTCACTGCAACAGCGAAACCCTGCATTTCCGATTCCGCAGCACAGGGAGCAGAAAATGTCAGGAATGACAAACAACATCACCATCATGAATAGGACCGACCCGGCCTAGTTCAGTTGGTACAGCCATTAACTGTCCGGTGTTGGAATCGAGATCGAACCAGGTGAATCAAATTCTTGAATTACCGGGGACCAGCCAGCCAGTTCTATGATAAGGCCATTGCCCAGTGTTGCATACCCCGACGGTCGGCACACCTTGACTGGTCGGCTGCCGACCACCCGACCAGTTGACTGGTCTGCACCTACCGGTTGGGGTTCGTCGGCACTCCGCAACAAAATAAAATAAAATAAAATAAAATAAAACAGGGAGTCCATAACGCCCAATAACACCACCAACACCCCCACATGCCCCCCAGAACTCCCAAACCGCCCCCCAACACCCTCATATCCCCCCCAAATACCCCCCATCCCCAAAAGTTTCTCAGCGATTTGGGCTGTACTGCTTGCTCAGTACAGCCCCCAACTCAGATTTGAAAAAAAATCAGAGTGCATAACTGCTTTCTGACCGGTCGGCCGCCGACCCGTCGGGCCTAGTGGTCGGCTGCAAAACCATCGGCGGCCGGCAGGTATGCAACCCTGTCATTGCTCTTTGAAGAAAAAAAAAAAAAAAACAAAAACGATGACTTGTGATCCCCATTCCCAATCCTTCGGCACATCCTTTACAATCGGAACAATATCAACAGAGAGAGAAGATTAGCATGGCCCCTGCACTTTCAAGGATGACACACATAAATCTGGATTAGGTGTGTTGGGGGTAGGTATGGGGGTGTTGGTGGGGTTATTGGGGGTTTGGACTCCCATTTGCTACAAGTTACAAACACATTTTCCGAACCGCCAGTGGCACACTTTTCTTCTTTTTTGGCTGGTGCTGCCAGCCATTGTGGTCCGGTAGCCCTGAGCCTCCGGGATTTTTGTAGGTGATGAAAGATTTCTCCACAAGGCTGGGCCCGTGTGCTGACGGTTCAAGCGAGCAATAGCAACAAGCCTGAACAAGAACAATATCTTACACATCGCCAAATACCATGGCTTTCAACATAGCAGCATTTTTTTTTGCTTCCGCCCCTATTTCACAGAGCAAACACGATGCAGGTCCTAACTGCTCGTCTTTCGTATATACCGACTGCAACCTTGTTCCCATCTTGCTTGGGGTATACGGGTTGATCGAACTTGATCCCCCTTTCTTCTTGGCTACATCATCACCCCTCTTTCTAAGGGCCTAGAGTTGCACCACTCGCCATCCGGCAACATTTTGAATGCATCTGGACATGCTGTTTGCCCGCATGCATTCAAGATCTTGGTGGATGGCGAGTGGTGCAACCACGCCCTAATTCCCTCCAGTGAACTCCACCTCAACTCCTTTTCTCCGTTGCTTGGTTAGCACCCTTCCATGATGGAAACTTCCAAAAGACTGCAAAATGGAATCAGATTCACACTATCTTGTTAGTATGAGACGAAAAGTTGGTTCGGGAAGGACAGGAGGTCTCACATTGGAAAATCAAAACAGGTGTGCGCGACTGTTCTTCATTCACTCAAGAATTTCAGAGATGGGAGTTTGAGACAGCCATTCTCCAATTGGAGAGCACAGAATTTCAAAAAGTTGAGAAGTGAAAACAGATCTGCGCATAATAGAGTAGAGGTGGTTCTGCAAAGTAGATAGTGTCTGGTAAGACTGGTAGGCCCATAACCCTTAGGGTGTCTCCTTGGCCTAGTCTATATTAGGTAGTGCGAGCCACTGCGAGGTTGAAAAACGATGAGAGAAGAAAATTGAATAGTAAATGTAGCCGACCCCCGATGAGGAGAAAACACTTCAAAACAGCCTGCATTTTTCCTAAACAATACCTTTCTCGGCTTTTTGGCTAAGTAGATCAAGTGCATTGTATCTGTTCTTAATCTTCTGATCAGTTATCTCATCCGTGGTCAATGGCGCCACATGATACTAGATCCTCGTAATTCGTAAGCCGACAATCAAAAAGTATCTATAATAATCTAGGCTACCAGAGTGGATCGGGACCACCTGCTCGGCCGGGCCAAAAAAAAGATTAAAACAAAATAATAATAAATAAAAAAAATTAAATATATATATTGTCACAGAACTATGACTAAGAGAGTAAGCTCGTGAGTGAAGAAAAGAAAAATGAAAGGCCAGACAGGCAAAGAGACAGAAACCAGAATGACACAAAACAGTGTCCTCTTATATATATTGTCACAGAACTATTGACTAAGAGCATGAGCATGTGAAGTAGAAGAAGAAATAAGATGAGCAAAGAAAAGAAAAATGAAAGGAAAGACAGGCAAAGAGACAGACAAACCAGAATGACACTTTGTTTCACAGTATTATTATTTCTTTCAGTCTTTTACAAAAATTATTTACACTGAATCAAAGGATCAAAAACAAAGACACATTGAAATCATTCAGTTTCTC